TAACAATTTATTACATAATAACTCGTTTTAAATGTTTTTCTTTACAAAAAACAAACAGTCGTTCAATGAATTTAATTGATATTAATTTATACCATAATTAGTAATATATTTTGTCATTTTTACCAAATCAGTCACCAATCAGTAATGTATAGGCAATGACTGCAGTCCAGTGAACAGTGTCTGTCAATCTATCAAATGTCATGAAATGAGCTAATATTTGTTTACAGAATATTCTGTATATCACTGCCCGGCTATGAATTGAACTAAATTAAGATAATTCAATTAAACTTATGTATTGAAACTTTCTGGACATTGCATTATAGACACGGTTGTTGCCGGACGTATTGAATGCTGGAAATGACATTTTCGTTGTTTTTTTATTAATTTTTAAAAATATTTTTGTTCATTAAATCATTTTATATTGAAGTAAATGTGTTTTTTTAGGCGAAATATTGTAAATATTATATGCAAATTATATAATATAAACGTATAATGAATAAAACGCTAGCAAATGAATCAATTCATACACTGCTAGTCATAATCATATAACTTGTAAATTGAGGCCAAAGTTAACCATTTTATAACAATTTAATGCCATTTCTATTAATTCTATTTAATACTATTATTATTAATAATACCAGTGTTTCGAATATGATTTAATCAAAAAACAGAATCAATTTGTAATTAAAATTAATTAAATGTTTGTTTAATATTTTATATTAACAAATAAATTGGATTTTTAAATATAATAACTGAATATTCTTTTCTATACATTATTTATTTTTTAAAAAAAACTCATCACTTATATTACAATAAAGATCAACAAATCATATATAAATTTATTTTAAAAAATTATTATTTCAATTATGAAATTTATAGTAAAATATTTATAAATAATTAATAAGTGAATAATAATAATAATAATATATAACACAGTAATCCTTGTTATCGATAGTGTTTTGGGTGAAGTGATTGCTAACCCTAACAGCCGTTATTGAGCGCCTTCTGAGACGTGGTTTGGGGCGCAGACAACAGGTCTGAGTACTGATGCAATACTTCCCGAAGCGATCGATTCACTTGAATAGAGTTAGATGTGGTGCAGTCCACTATAGGCGGGTACAACCGAATCAATAGATCCCATACGTGCGGCTCAACGCTACCCACCGGTGCCTTCTTTAGAGACACTATGAGAGTCGCCAACGCTTTCAATACAAACGATATTTCCGCCATTCGATGCCTTTATTCATATAAAGTTATATTTTTAGTATATTTTAGAGTAAATACAAATTAATTATAATGTATTGTAATTAATGTATACCGCGGTAGAGGACACGGACACAACCGCTCGTCTTCAACATATTTAATAACCACTTCATTGAAACGTTGAAGTATTGAAGTGACGGCCAATTTGTTAACAATTCCAATGCTGTGATCGGGAGTTAAATCGTTGCCCGAAGACATGAAAAGCCCGG